GCCTCCATTATCGTTGCCATAGTAACAGAAAGGTCAGTGATCTCCTGAGAGCTGATCTTGTCTAAAAACTGTGTTGACTTTGTTTAGAGAGAAGTGGGTGATTTTCACCTCACTAAAGCAAGAGTTTAATCACAGCGACATCTAGTGGACATTAGAGGAACTACAGCTGCCGGTTCCTTGCTTTAACCAGTGGGGTCCACGTTACCATGGTGACTATGCACTCTGGACCACCACTGTGTGTGTGTGTGTGTGTGTGTGTGTGTATGGCTCTGATTAGCTTTATAGATCAGGTATTGATACTTTGCACTTTGCTTTTGCAATAAATGCTGGAAAGTTATATTATGAATGACATTGTATATCGTAGCTTTACTACTATAGCCTTACTATAAACTCTACTATAGCCTTACTATAAACTCTACTATAGCCTTACTGTAGTCTTTAGAGTAGCCTGTGTGACCTCCGCACTCTGCTTCAGCTGCTTCAGCCTGAATGTTTCCGGACTGTTCTGTCACGACTCTCAGTGGTTTGTTGATGCCACCATCTTGGTTCCCAGTGATGAGCTTATTTTCGACCATCAAGCCCGCTGTGTTTCCTAAAATGGGGCTGATCTCTGCTTGACCCTTAAAACACCAAACCTGACCACCTGCAGCATCCCATACATGATGTCAGTATCATGCACAGGTCACGCAGCGCGTCGCATCGCCATCAGTTAATCTTTCATCCCAAATCAACCAACTGTATGATTGTAGTTGCGCTCCCTGAAGGTTCGACCGACCTGAAGCTCGTCTCCATTCAGTCGGATAAAATGTCCTAAAATTGATGCCGACTGCAGACACACATGGTTCTGTTTATACTATAGTGGGTGTCTGCATTGAAGGATGCTAAAATGTTTGTCGGTCAAATAAAATAAAATTTATGCCATTCAGACTCTTTGCCACCACGTGAAAAGGCGGTAGAGGCACCGATTGATCTCACAATCAATGACAAAAACGAAGAAGAAAGGGATCATGGAGTGGAGTAAAGTCATATTTCTGAAAGTAGAGACGATGTCTCAGAGTAAAGTGCCTTAATAAAATAAATTGAATGTTTGCTGGGAGCCAACATGGCCGCCTCAGCGATGGTGTTGTGATGCTGCGTTCAGGTCATGTGGAAGTTACCGTAAATACTGTCAGCAAGTGAGTCTTTTTTCAAGTTGCAGGTAAACATGTCTGAAAAGTAAACCAACACTGTGCCCTCAAGTTGATTCTTCAGTCTAACTAAATTCTCATTTAACTTTGATTTGATCAGACCCCCCCCCCGTGACCACGTGACCTGTCGTACATCAGATCACTGATATTGTGTAATGTAACACTCCTTACCACTCTTTACCAAAGACTTTGTGACTAATGATCTGAACACGCACACAATGTGTCAAAACCCATGTTTACTGCAGCAAAGCCAGAGTTAATGTTGTCAAAATCCACTGCTGATTAAAGAGTGCCAACACTTCACCTGAAACCTCTTTAAATCACTTTAAATCACTTTACAGTCAATTTTAAATAACATTATTAACCACTTAAAATCACAACTGCTGTGGATGGTGATGGGAATGACAGAATAGGAAGAAAATTTAAGGTTTTTTTTCCTCTTTTGTCCAACTTTCAAAGCAATTGATGACTTTTTTTAGGGTCCATTTTATCAAAGTGAAATATTTGTATTACATATAATTTTTAGCACTAAAGTTTGTTTTAACATTAGCAAAAAAGAACATTCTTCATGTTTGGGAACAGTCTATGTGACAAAGAAATCTCTTACTTGTTTTTGTGGCTTACAAATGCAATTATAAAGCACTTTGAGTGAACAAAAGTGTTTAAATAAATGCAGTCAAACCACATCTCACAGTCTTGATCAGAAAAGAGCTCAAACTGAATTTACATCTCTCCGGACTGAGGCGAACATACACGGTGGTTGTTTATACCTGTATGGACTGAGGGTCTACTACTGGTGTATGACTTAATCCTGACATCACATGTGGCAGCTATAGGGAACATTACAGCACCCTCAGTTTAACACTGACGCCCTCTGAAAGACTGCGAGATGTGGTTGAAAGCTCTGGGAAAAACGTGAGTTACATAAGCGAGTGATTTTTTTTTTTATTATTATTATTTTTTTACTTGAAGCTGTGTTCAAGTGTTTCTCAGCAGTTTGTCCTGCGTCAGCCTCTGTGGTGCCAACAGTGTTTGCTGCTTCAGACTGTGTTTGGTTGTTCTTGGATCCGATTGTTTTCCGCTTTTCTCGCCAAGAAAACAGAAACCATCACTTGTCGTCTGCTCACAGACTGCTGTCAACCTCTCATGTAGACCATTAAAGACAGAAGCACAAGTTTAGAGCCTCTTCTGCTCTCCTTGTCTTTCTCAAACATCACCTGAGTTTTCAGAGGCGTTTTCAATCTGAGGGTCAGATTTAAACAGATTTTCTTTATTTGACACAAAGTTTAGATCAATTTCCCAGAAAGTAGAGAGATTAAAAGTGTTGATTTTTGTAAAGAGGTTTTCTAGAGAGACGGACTGAACAGTTGACAGAGTAACATCGTTGTCTGTTTACTTAAGATTTGTAATGTCTTCTTTGGTTGAACTGTTTAAACATATCAACATATCAGCATACAGATCGGCTGCATCAACAGTTGTGACAATTGTTTGAATACATTTAGTGGCATTAGGAGGGAAAACTATCCAGCAATTCACAAGAAAAAAAGCAAAGATTATAGAAAAGTTTGTCAAAATAAATAACACTTTCTACTGGATTACTTTATCGATCTGTGTCACAACTTAAACTACTTTACTTTCTGGGATTTTTTTTTTTAGAAAACCTACAGACCTGCAGGGTTTTATCAGACCACAGAAAATCTGTTAAGTTCTAAAGTCTTTTATTAATTCACCTTTTGGAGAAGATAACTCTACAAACTACTTGATTGAAGTTTGTTCAGTCAAACTAAATTCTGCATAAACATTAATTTGGACCATGTAGCACAAAATAATGAGTTAAAGTTGAGATATTTTTGTTTGTTGTTCAATGTTATCTTGTTTTGAGGCCAAACTGCAGCAGATTCTGTAGATCTGTAGAAGTTTGTCCCTGTTAGGCTGCCATAATGTTGTCTTTGTTAGTTTTCTGATTCGTTGCCAAAAACGTGTTTCATGTGTTCAAGTTGAAGGGAAATTCTGTTTTTACACAAGTATTTTAAAGGAGCCTCAGTTATACTGAGACATTATAGCCAAATTCAGCATTTTTATTTTTAAACATGCTGTATTGTCACTATAACCATCACCAGGACAAAAAACAGCTGTTTGTAAAAGAGGAAAAACATGAGAAAATGCTGCCTGTCTCATCTGTATAAGAACTACACCTCCCATAATGCTTTGCTCCAAGGTGCTGCTCACTGAGAGCACAGTTTCCTCTGTCACACACATTGTTCTTCACTCTGTAAAGTAAACTGGTTGATCCACAGCACCATGTGGCCACCAGCTTATTCAACTAACTGCTATTAACTAACCAGCATAACTCAACCAGTAACATCATGCCTGTATGAATGCTGCCTGTTACAATACAATAAAACAACTTTGGGAAAGAGACAAATGTTTTTTTTTACTGTGTTTTAGCTGATAAAGCTGCCACTGTTTAAAGGGTAATTCTTTTTCATGGACCATATTTTGGGGATTTGGGGGAATTTAGGGGGGGGGGGCAGCTGCCATGGAGGCCAGAAATAATCATGTTACATAGGAGAGAGAGCACTTGTGTGTTGATGTGAGTAGAGCAGATTTGGGGAGGGGACATTTAATGGACCTTTAGAGGGTTACAGCCATTTCTGTGGGCCTGCAAATCAACATAATGAACCGCTACATGTTTAATAGTACAGATATTAAAGGTCCAGTGTGTAACATTTGTCAGAAATGGAATATCTTATTCATAGGTATGTTTTCATTAGTGTATAATAATTATAGAGACATTTTTATCTTCAGAGGGAGTGGGTCCAATATGTCGAACCTCCATCTTTCCTACCGGTAAGGCCTAGAACAGAGAAAACCAACAAACAGGCTCTATGTGAGCGGCCGTGTGTTTAACACATTGGACCTTTTAAGGCTTAAATTAAAGTGACTTTTGGGTTACTAAAGTAAGAAACTGAACAGAGTAGAAAGAAATGATCATACTGTACAATAATGACAACCAGAAAATCAGCTGTCAGTGAACACAAACACCAGACTTCATAAAGAAAAGAGTCATTTGAAGTCAGTACTTTGTATTTTGATGCTTTTGGTTTTCCATGCAGAATATTTAGTTAAAACGAAGTGTTTTTTTACAGGCCTATAAGTGAAAACGGAGTGTTGCTTCCACCATTTTGTGCGTGTGTGTGTGTGTGTGTGTCAAGGAGGAAACTAGTTGAGCAACTATTTGCTTTCTCAAACATTAGCGAGGACCTGCCTTAACAGACACACACATTGTACATACACACACTTTAACAAGCCTCTGTGTGCAGTTATGCACACACACACACACACACACACACACACACACAGAGGTACCTCCCATCACCCTGTTGGACAGAAAACACACACAGGAGTTAGTTTCCAACTGCTGAAGAGAGAGGACAGAAGAGAGCAGATGGGACACCGTCAGAGAGACAATATGTAGACAGGTCGACAGGTGAACAGGTAGACAGGTGTGTCAGTTATCGGGATCATAATGTCCATCAGTGTGAATCTGAGGAGGATCTCCAACCTGCCGGGACGATCCGACAGAAAGGTCGAACTTTGCTTCAGAGGTCAGTAACATACACTAACCTGTCTGCATCTACAAGGAGAGAACGGCCTCCTTATATTGTATTATATTATTTTTTATTATATTATATTATATAATATTTTATTATATACACTTCCCTGTCTTCGGTGTACCGTTGGTCTGTTTTCCTAGTTTGTTCTGCGCTCCTACGATGATATTTTAAACAATAGTGAGCTTCCAACTTTATAACAGCTTGTGGAAAGAAGTATTCAAATCCTTTAAAAGTAGAAGTACCACTCTGTAAAAAGAGATATTGTGAGTAAAAGTTTTTTCAAAAATATACTAAAGTGAAAGTACAAAGTATCCATATATCATGAAAAGTAAAACCACTGTAAATGTAGAATGCTTCCTTTCACATCATTGTATTATTATATATATTAATAGATTATTATTATTGATACATGAGTATAACAATTCATGTTGTAGCTGGTAAAACAGTTTTATAGTAAAGAGACATTGACGTATCCTTTTAATCTGACTAACTCAGACTGTTTAAGCCTCTTAAACTTTAAAAGGACCACAGATTCCACTGGAAGCATGTTGGGAAGGGATGTGATGAAGGCCAGTTTGAACAGCAGGAAGGACTTTTGTTTTATTGACAGACATGAGAAAATGTGAACCTATCCTTTAAGACTGCGTTAGTGTCGATGTTTATCAGATCTGGGACAGGCTTAGTCAAAGAGACAAAACAAATACGAGTACATTCCTCTATTGAGATCATATCTTGGTTGGCGGGTTTTATTTACTTTCTAGATAATGAGCAACAAATATAATCAAACAGTATTATAGTTACATTCAGAGTAACACAATTAATTAAGCAATTAACTTGAGTTATCATTGTTAAAAGGATATGATCTTTAATATTTATATCAGATGCAATATTAAAGTGACGTATACATTAATAATCATAAAAATATAACACACAGTACAGCTTCTGCCGAGGTGTTTGGTCATTAATAATATTCACATTGAATCTGAAATATCATGACCAACAACTTCTTCATGTTTGTTAATTATCGTCTCTCCTAAAACCAGCTTATCGGAGCATTAACACCACAGATTGGACTGATGTTGTGCAGGAACAGCCCCATTTTTTAGGCTTTTAAAATAACTTAAACTTTTTGTCATTTTCTCTCAATCTCTCTGACTCAACCAAAAAGTCAATGAAGCAAAAGTTCTATTACTGGGAAATATCACAATCTATTACAGTATTATGGATTCACATTCATTCTGTGAACTTTGCTCCAACATAGTTTAATAGATTTCCTACCCTACCTATGTAATCTTAAAATAACATATTGAACACTGAAAATAAATCATCCTCAACATTTGTTTTGTTCTGGTTTCAGAATGATTAAGACAGTTGGAGAAACATTAGATACAAAATAGAATTTAGGGACAACTAGATTTTCTTTTAGAGTTTCACCGCCTTGTTTCATTGATTTTATGGGGAAACTGACCAACCCAGTAGCAGACATTAATGATTACTATATAGAAATAGCTATAACTTTGTGTATCTTTGTGGACACCTGGAAGTCTGTCATCAGACATCCCCATGTTTTAAAGTGTGTTTGTAGTCAGTTTAATCCATGTAGAAGTTAGTTTCACTCACCAGTGAGCTGTTAACAGAGCCCGAAGCACCAGTACTGTTACTATGGTTACCTGTCTGTCTGTCTGTCTGTCCTCCAGGTTTCACCCATAAAACCAAAGTCCTGCAGTGTGAGAACTTGGCCATCTTCAATGAGGTCAGTAAACCACTGTCCAACTGCGGACACATTCCGAAATAAATAAATAAATACGGTTTTTACACAAACAGACATTTTCTCCTGATGTCGGTCTGAATCTTACAGACGGGTCAGTTCAAGTAGAAACAGCCACGAGGATGATGAGCTGCTTAGATTTCACATCACATAACCTTCATCATATTTGTGTGTGTGTGTGTGTGTGTGTTATATCAGGTAGCTGCAGTTGTTTGTCTGCTTCAGATTGAAACTATTTTAATGGTGCTGATAGGAAATTGTACCACTCCTACAGAACACACACTCACACACAACCGCTCCTTCAACACACACACACACCTACAGTTGGCGTGATTTTTATTCTACTGGCAGGACTCCTGAAGGAAAATAACATAATAACATAATAACATAATTCATGCTCTTGAATTAACCATTTTTTATGCAGGCGTTACCACACTAAAGGTTCTGTGTCGATTGGTCCACTACTTTGGTTCAGACTTAAATGTCTCAACAACTATTTGATAGATTGTTATGAAACAGACATTAATAGTTCCTAGAGGATGAATATTAACAACTTTGGTGAAGTTTATCTCTAGTGTCACCATGAGGTTGAAGTTTTTGGTTTTGAGTGAAATGCCATGAATTCTGGTACAGATATTCATGGTCCACAGAGGATCTTAAAAAATATGATGCATTACATTATGGCGTACATACCATGGGTGCTGCTTTTCTGTTACATTGTGGGAGTTTTTGAGGCATAATATAAATATGACTTTCTAAACTCAGGATTCAGACACTCAAATAATGGCAAAGAGTAAATATAGTGCACTATATAGTAAAAAGGGAGTGATTTTGGATCTTGTTTAACAAGACTGCGGTAGATGAAAAGTGGAGCGATCACCAAAGTCATTACAATTCATCCTGAATCCATTCAATAAGTGCTGAGATATTTCCATAGAGTTTCTTACTTCTGAAACAGAACCTGGGAGTCCTGGTTTCACTTAAGCTTGATGTGGTTACCGGTTGAGCTTTGTAGAAGTAGTTGGATAAATTACTTTGATTTCACAGCTCTGGAAAGAGGCATCTCCATAGCAACGGCCACTGAGGCTCATGGGTGCTGTAGTATTTAATGAAAACATGAAACATGTCTTCCTTATCGCTCAATGACCCGCAGACTCTGTGGTTCTGTGTTTAAGGGTTCTCCTGAAAACAGACTTTATTGTATGATTTTGAAAATGGAGGAAGTGTTTATTGAACTGGAGCTTCCACCAACTTCACCACATCACCACCTGTTGGTTGGCCTAAGGACTACTGACAGGTTAGATAACAGAATTACAGTTATATGTATGACGTGATCGGTGAGCCCTGAGATATATTTCTCTGTGCAGCCACTGAGTCAGACTGTTTGTTCTTCAGGTGTGACCAGATGTGTGTGTGTGTGCGTGTGTGCGTGTGTGTGCGTGCCACGGTGACTCATGGACTCATGTCCAGTGTCAAGACAGAAACCATCTCTTCCACCTTTAACTCTAGTTTGAGTTTTTATTTGCTGTAAACAGAAGTTAGCAGTTCGATATGAACGTTAATACAGCAGCTGTTCCCCAGACGTGTGTTGGTCATAAGTTTTGGGGTTGCCGGTTTGATCCCTGTCCTTGAACAAGACACTGACTCTATATTGCTCGCTAATGTTCTGTGTATTTACTTTTAACCCCCCCCCAATACCTGTTATCATGTGACTGAAGTTAAGGTCAAAGTGTGAATGACACTTGAGTCTTCTCCGGTTTGATGAAGAAGCTGTGAGTATTTACGGCTAAAAAGCCTAGAAAAAGATAAATTGTTGTGTCACACGCTTTCATTTCAGAGCATAAAATGAAGTAATTTGACAAAGAAAGTAACCGTGTGTGTGTGTGTGTGCTTGTGTGGGTGTGTGTGTGTGCTGTGTGTAAATAGCTATTATTTCGGATTGGCCTCCAACTAATGGTAAAGAGATCAGAAGAATGAAGTTTTGACGCGTCAGTCTTTACCAACTGGCAGTAGATCTTGCTCCAACAGGTAACAAACTCTCAACAGCAATAGAACAACACACACACACAACACACAACACACACACATATTTTTATTTGTATAGTTATTTTTAACTCTGTGTGTAGATCGCTCCGGCCAAAGCTGGTCGTCCAGTCTCCAGCAGTGTTTGTTACATGGGGAGCGCTGTTGCTGACGGGACCACTCACTGATGCCATAGAGTCGACTGATGTAAGGACAACACACTGGGCGGCAGTATACAGCACAAAACACACACACACACACACACACACACATCACACACACACACAGTGGGCAAGAGTTGTATAGTTAGAAAGTAGTTTTATCTTATTTAAGTTTAATTTTAATTTTCCAATTTCAGTTCAGTTTCAGTTACCCTTTTCAGAGTGCATTTGCTGAAAATGTTTTAGTTTTTTAAATTATTATAATATATATTTTTGTCAGAATATGTATTACAATATAAACACACTGACTCACAGTCATGTAGAGATCCCAGTCTCAATGAACATAAGCCTCATTCTTGTTGTGTTGACAAATTTGACCAAGCTGGGAACACTAAAGACATTTCCTGTGTATTTTTATTTTGTTTTAGTTTTTTTCAAAATTCTAATTTTATTTTGTATTTCATTTAGTTTCAGTTATGTCAAATAACCTTGTTAAGATGTTGGTTGATTTCACTTTCTCTCTGTGTAGATCTATATAGAGTTGGACATTCGGTATAATCCAGTTGAAGGAACAGCAGGAAGCTGGGAGGGACACGACTTCCTGAGAGTCGAAGACAATGATGAGTAAGATCACGTCCACATTGAACCAGAAACATCTTCTCCACTAAACTCTAGAAACAACAGTCTCTGGTTGTAATGTGGATGAGAAAAACAAAACTTTTTACTTGCCATTTTGTTTTTAAAGGAGCACTCATTTACTTAAATATTTATTCAAACCTTCTTGTTCACTGTCTTATGCAGAGTGATGAGAGAAGTTTTTTGTGTGTCCAGTTTTGGCCAGTCCTAATTTTACTCTTAGATTAGTCTAATGCAAGATAGACGGTTAAGATAGAAATAAGATTTACTTATTTTAAGCCTCAAAAGTTTGCCACCCTAACAGCATCCTAACTCAAACTCTGTTTCCTGGTAACAACCAGTTACACCTGCTGACCAGTAGCACCAAATGATAAAAACAATAACTTGTAAATATACAGCAGTGAGGACATCATACCGAGTCCTGCCACATTAAGCCTCCCAGTTCTGCCACAGGTCTGCACTGTGTTGAGATTTTAAGCCACTGGATATATCTTCTATTGACGCGCGTTGTCTGTTGATAAAGTATTTTTTTTTCAGGTGATTATATTCTAATAAAAAATGAAAAAACACAACAAACAATCTCCCAACAAACAAACTGAACAAATTATTCTATTCTTTAAGTAATTTTGTTTCCCTTCCTTCATCTGCAGATCATCTCTGGTCATCAGGAATGAAGGATTTAATGACCCTGAAAGGTGAGAATTTACACGACTCACACGTTCATTCTCTTATCATAACAATACTGATACTGATGTCTCTATGAACAGATAATATCAGCCAAATTATCGACATATATAAGTGTCCGTCAGACATAAAGCAAATATAGGAATTATCTAATCTGTTTTCTCACATTAAAATCTTAGACTTTTACATTTCTCTGATAAAATAATCTAAACTCAAGGTTTACTTACAAGCTTTCTTCTGCAGTTTTCAATCCACAGGATTAGGAAACCATTAGTTATCATAAAACTGTATAAAAAAAGTAAAAAAGTTCTGTACTTTGATCACCTGATGACAGCAAGTTAATTGCAAGAAAAAATCTGATAAATGGTGTGCCTTAAATGGTGTCGAGCTACATTGTGGGTAATGTACGTGCCAGATTTTTGACAAGGGAGAGGAATGCGTGGAATAAAAAGGATGATATCTCTGGTTCTGCAACATCAACATTGATTTTATTTCACTGTCCGTCGTGAGTGCAGTGCTAAATCAATGGAGAGCTCTTCTCTCCAACTGAAATTAAATTGTGTTTTCTTTGTTTTCTGCTACATAATACATATCCGGTTTCCTTTGAAATCTGAAACCAAAAGGGATAATTTATATATATATATATATATATATTTCAATATATTATGGTTTTGAATTAATTGCATGGAGATCTTATGTTAATACAACCAATTAACAAATGCAGTATGCCAAAAATTCCCAGATATCCTCCTGCACCCGGTCTTATTTTTGCAGTATGCAAGCAAGCTTTCTTTTCTGGCTGCAGATTTCCTTCAAGCAGTTTATAAACTCCACCCCTCTACTTCTGCCAGAAGAATACATACAAAGCACACAGAGTATTTGGAGAAACTATTAATTACTCTCTCTCTCTCTCTTTCCCTCTCACTCACTTTTTCTCCTGTCAGTAAGCCGACTGTCACTCGCCCAGGTCAGCTGGAGAGAGAGGTTCGGCGTCTGGGGCGGAGCCTGGTCGGGACAGGGGATGAAGATGAAGACGACGAGGATGATGATTATGATGATGACCAGATGGACATGGAGGTTTCCAACATCACCTTCACTCCTCTGCTGAGGTCTGGTTACCTTATTGTCTGTCTGTCTGTCTGTCTGTCTCAACTCATCTGTGTGCTGTAATAATGATCTGCTGTCAATAATGTGTGTGTGTGTGTGTAGTCGTTGCAGGCCGATGTCCAGAAATATTGCTGCAGCATTTCCCAGAGTCCAGAGCTTCCAGGTGAGTTCATTCATTCATCCATTTTGGACCTCCTGAAGGATCCTGAGGTTTTATAAACTCCCTCCACCCTGGGGTATCCTCCAAGTTGGATGTTTCTGGAAACCCTTTAATTAAAGTGTCTGTAATATATATCTTTATAATAACAATGTATCAAAT